ACCATAATCTGAGACTTCAGCAAGTTATAATCTTTTTCCTGGTAGAGAGTCTTGCCTTATTTTTTATTTTTTTAGTAATTTATTTTGAGTTATCAACCATCATTTCCATAAACTTCTGAGTTTTAAATTTTTCTCCCCCCCACATCCTTCCTCAAGACAACACACAGTCTGATATAAGCTACACATATACATTCCTATTGAACATATTTTCACATTAGTCATGTTGTAAGGAAGAATTAGAAACAATAGAAGGAACCACAAGAAAGAGGAAACAAAACAAAACAGAAGGAAAAAAAAAGAACAAATAGTATGCCTCGATCTACGTTCAAACTCCATAGTTCTTTCTTTGGATGTGGATAACATTTTCCATCATAAGACTTTTGGAGATGAATTAGATCCTGGCATTGCTGAGAAGGGCTAAGTCTATCAAAGTTTGTCATGACACAACATGACTGTTACTGTGTACACCATTCTCCTGGTTCTGCTCACTTTACTCAGTATCAGTCCATACAAGTCTTTCCAGGTTTTTTCTGAAGTCTGCCTGCTTATCATTTCTTATAGCATAATAGTATTCCATTACATTCATATGCCACAACTTCTCCAAGCATTCCTCAATAGATGGGAATCCCCTCAATTTCCAATTCTTTGCCACCACAAAAAAAGCTGCTATAAATATTTTTGTACATATGGGTCCTTTTCCCTTTTTATGATCTTTTTGGGATACAGCCCTAGAAGTTCTTGCCTTGAGGTTAATGACAGCTAACTGTTCGTAATGTGGTTGATGAAGGTTGGAGTGACTGTGGCAATTTCTTAAAACAAGATAATAATGAAGTTTGTTACATTGATTAACTTTTTTTCACTTGAACATTTACAGGACACTGTCAGGTTACTAATTGGCCTAATTTCCATATTGTTGTATCTGGGGAATAGGAAGGCCTGAGGAGAAGGAGAAAAGATGGTGGAACTCTAGTTGGAATAGTCATAACACACACAACATTTATCTATTTAAGTTCACCAACTTATATGGGTGCAATTCATGGAGTCCAAAAACAACAATTATCACATCAAAAATCAGTGATCACAGATCACTATAATAGATATAATGACCATGAAAAAGTTTGAAATATTGTGAGAATTAACAAAATATGACACAGAGTTAAGATATATGCTATTAGAAAAATGGCACCAATAGACTAGCTCAATGCAGGTTTGCCACAAACCCTCAATTTATAAAAAAAGAAAAAAAAACACACTATCTGTGAAGCACTATAAAGTTCAATAAGACAAAATATGCCTCTAATCAATGTAGGCTTTAAGTATGGATATTGTTTCTTTTTTCTGATTTTTTTCAGTATGTCTTTTCAATTAATATATTTTAAAAAATTGGCAACCAGATGTAAGTGGATAATAATGATTAGCTAATAAGCATAACTGGGAAGCAAAGAGATATGTCACCAGTTACATACAAGGAAACATCTAATGAATAGTGCTACACATCCCTGGCATCTTTGTAAAAAACAAGCAACTGTATTAATTAAAGAATCCATTTGATAAAATTCCATGTATACTGATATATTTTGAAGTTTACAAAATGCTTTCTCTGTTTTATCTCCTTTTGGGGAAGTTATTATTATAATTATTCTATAGATAAAGAAGCTATGCTCAAATAAATTTTCATTTGTCCGTGATCACAAAGCCAGTAAGCATCAGAGTCAGATATCAAATTCAGATCTGGATGCCTACAAGTCCAGCACTCCATAATGCCACTCAAATATCACAGATTTTAGATTATTGACTATAATTTATAGTTAAATTAAAATTATTAATTCCATGACTTCTTTTAGCTGAAATTTAATTTATAAGTATTTCTTTTGATAAGCCCTTACTCCTAGTCACATGTAGCTATATACTCAATTTGTTTTCTTCATGATTTTAAGAGATCTATCACAATATAATGTTTAGAAATTTGTCATGATAGTGATATCAATGTGTTGCAATGGAGAAAGAAATTTCCCCAGAAAACAATATGTTGAATGGTCATTGAAAAAAAAACCTTCATTTTTTTGGGCATTAAGTGAGTAGTATAAACATATTAAAATATTCCCCTTCCCTTTGTTCACATGCCTCAGGCTTGGTGCCTCTACGCATCAAAAATCTATACATGGAAATCCCAGGGGAATAGATTTCCATTTCTAAATTTCAAAAGTGAAAGTATAATTTTTCCTGTCTCAATCTTTGGCTTTTCTCTGAGAGCCAAATACATTAGTACCAGTGATGGTAATACATATAATAAAACATATAAATCAAGGGAAGTTTTTAGTATGGTTATTGTTTCCATTTTTTTTTTGAATGATGCAGAGTTCTACATCAAACATGACTTACCATCTTTATAAAAATGTATTCAGAAGCAGAGACTGGTCTCCTCTCTTTCATAAGAAATAGTATGCTAGCCCTATTTATGAAAATCACTGTATTTTATGAAGTTAAGGATGCTGTCTTTAAATACTTGATGTATTCATCCACCAAATGTTAAGCTGAGCTCCTTTTATATCTCATTTTTCAAGTAAGGGAAGAGAAATACTTCAATGTGTTTTTACTAACATTCCAAACAGGAAAAAATATTCTCATAGGCAGAATTCCCAAATTTTATTTATTTCCTTATTTTTAATTCATTTGTCCTATTGCATATTTGAAGTATGGTATGGTATAAAGTATTGGGAGTTGAAGACCTCTGTTCATATCCTGTCTTTTAAACTCACTACCTTGGGAACATCATTTAATCTCCATGAGCCTGTGGTCCCTAATCTGTAAAACGAATGTTGGGCTGGAGGCCTCTAAAGTTGCTTTCATCTCTAAAATTATGAACTTAGAGAGAATGATGATATCTAAATCTCCCTCCAGCTCTGCGGATCAAAAAGCCATCTCTATCTGCCCATCCTATGAAATTCATCCATATTGTCCCTTAAATTTATTACAGGGAGTCTATCCAATGTGTTAGTTGCAGTTTACTTGCTTTCTTCCAATACTGTAAGAGTGCCAGTGGAACATTCTCTCTATCTGTCATTCCTCATTCTTGGCATGTAATCAGCTTATCTCTTCTGGTCTCAAAATTTTGTGATGACATCTTTTATTGCTATTGGAGTTTCTCATTCAATACATATTAGAGTCTGTTCATCCCTGACATATACCTTTCCATTGCTCTCTGTAATATTCATTTTTTAATTCTTTGGTGGTAGTGGTATTTCATGCCCTTCTGCCTTAAAGGAATAAAAGAAAAATTCTGAAGAATTTTGGTTCTGAATCTAAAATGAAACTGTTCCTTTAGAGGAGACAATTTGTACACACTGTATATAAGTATATTTAAGATATACTTATTATAAATATTATTTTTCCCCTTCATAGTGGTACTAACAACTAGGAGAATTGGGATTTGAGACGAAATCAGAAGCAAAGTAGCACTTGAAAGAGGTGAGGAAGGGCTTCATTCTATACATGGATGACAGTATTTGCAAAGATAGTAAGGTAGGAGAGAATATTTTTTGTGCAAAGAATAATTTGTCTGGATCAAAGAATGCATGAAGGGAAATGAATCTGAAAAGTTTGGATAGAGTCAGGTTACAAAGGTCTTTAAATGTAAACCAATGTTTAAAATAATATCCTAGAGGTAATCAGGAGCCTTTGGAGCTTATGGAGTGGTGAGAAAACAAAGTCAGTCTTACGCTTTAGGAAGTTCATTTAAATAGCTATATGAAGCATATGGTCAGCCTAGGGCATGTCTGACAGTACTACCATGAAGTCCTTCACTCTAGAATCTTATTTTAAAATGTTAACCTTACTTAACATTAATAATTTTTACTGTCATCTCATACTGCTGACTCATATTTGGTTTAAAGCTCCTAGAATTTCAAGATCCCCCCAAAATAAACTGCTTTGGATTCACATTTTTCTATTTTCCCTGGATGCCCTTTCATTTTTGTATTTATAGCTTCAATGTCTTGTATAGTGCTATGTACATAGTAGACACATTTAAAAGGCCTTTTTGAATTATATTGGCTCTTTTACTTTTAGAGTAGATTTTCTTAGCATTAGCCTACTCTCCAAAAATTTCTACAGATATCATTTTGGAATTTAGTTCTGTTATTCAATGTGTTATATATCTCACCAAACCTTACATCACCCCAAAAATTGATGAGTAGAACTTAATTCAAGTCATTCATAAAGGAAAGGACCCTGTGGCTTAACTAAAGGTTTGTCTCTAATTTGACATGGAACCATTAGCGGCTTGGTTTCAGTCAAGCAACAAGTTCTGAACTTACTTATATATCCATCCTGTCTACCTTTTTTTCTATTTTGCTCATTAGGATAGATATTCTGGCAAGAAACCTGATGAAATATATGGCATTCTCCTGATCTATGGTCAAATTCATAACCCTGTCAACAAAAACAACAAAAATTAGCATGAGTTTGGCATGCCTTGCTTTTAATAAACCTATATTGGCTATTACTGTTTTTCTTTTGCAGGACTCACAAACTTTTTATTCATATTTTTATTAAACCTATAATTTTACTGCTATTAGAAATTCACAAAGAACATACTCTTCCAGCCCCAATTCAGATTGGTAACTGTCCTGTATTTTATAGTCTTAAAGAGTTGTCTGGCTCACTAAGAAGTTAAAGATTTGTTCAAAGGTCACAAATTAGCATGTGTCTGAGATGGGAATTGAACCCAGGTTTTCCTTTCTATCTACTATGCTGTGCTGCCTTTAATAAACCTACTGTTCATAAACTAAGTGTAATATAATCAATCTTTATGTAGATTTGCTTAGCTAACATTATTAGATAGTTTGCCTATTCATTGATTAGTAATAGCTAATAATATTAAAACGAAAAGGAGTACAAAAACCTAAACTACTCCTGAAGATACTAAAAAATTAGTCAAAATAATATCTTAGGAATGTTGTTTTACATTTTTTGGTCATAAATTTATGCCTGTTTTGTAGTTTAACATATTTCATGATCTACACGAAAATGAAGTGGAAAAGGTTTCAGAAGGCAGAAAGGATGAAGGCAATTGTGAAACCAGCAAGGACAGATTGATCTGTGAGCTGAGAGCAGAGGTATGATTTTGTTTTTATTTTTGCATTACTACTTTGCATGGACATAGATAATATACTGTTATAAACATGTTGAATAAATCTGCTTAAATAATTAATATTATGCATAGCATAAATAAATGAGATATGTTGATTTTAATGCATAGGCAGATCATTCATTTTAAAGAAAGAACTTTGTCAAAAACTTATACACATGAAATTAAATGGCATGGAGTTGGAATTTGATGTAAAAACAATGTAATGATATCAGTTCTCAACAGATCCTGAGCAATTTTAATGCTAAAAAGACATAACATTTGACTATTCTAAGATTTCTGAGTCCAATGCATATCTTTCTTTGAGTAAAAACTCATTAAAAGTTCAATTTGTTGTGGGGTTTGATGTGTCAGACTATTGTCACATCCAATGACATAAATCAAGTGTAGCCTGAAGTTTCTGGTGGACCTAATGGTATTCTTGGCAAGGCATTCTAGTAGGGAGAGACAAGCAGAGTGGATTTATTTTTGTTATATCTAATTTATGACTGAGGTACTTGTCAAATGAAATAGTAGAAAACAGTTTTCTTTTTTGTCATTCCAAAAGAAACAGAAGAATTGTCACAGATTGTAAACTCTTTGTTTTTATCTTGATTTGGTAAAAGCAAAGATAATTATTACAAAAGACTGAGCCATTTATACTTTCAAACTCGTGACTTTTATGTTTGCATGTTGCCTAAATGAAGAATTATGGAAATCTGGGGGAAGCTAGGTGGTGCAATGAATAGAGCACCAGCCCTAAAGTCAGGAGGACCTGAGTTCAAATCTGGCCTCAGAACAAACAATTGACACTTACTAGCTGTGTGACCCTGGGCAAGTCACTTAACCCCAATTGCCAAAAAAAAGAAAAAGAATTGTGGAAATCAGGAATGCTTGTATAGTAAATTAATGACTCCAGGAAATAAAAAGTTTTGTAGTAAATTGTGTGAGAGGGGGAGGTAAAAGTAATAAATATATGGTCTATATCTTTTTTAACATTTTTAAAGAAAATGTGGAAAAGTGGAGCCAAGATGTTGAAGAAAAGTCAGGAATTTGCCTGAGCTCTCCCAAATTCCCTTCCAAACAACTTTAAATAATGCCTCAGAATGAATTCTGGAGTGACAGAACCCGTGAAAGGATGGGGTGAAATAATTTTCCAGTCCAAGAAAATGTAGAAAGATTACAGAAAAGATCTGTCTAACTTTGGAAAAAGGGGAGCACAGACCAGGGCAGGCAGTGACCAGCTCAGCCAGTGCGAGGCATCTAGTAACCAACACAGCTCATCAATTGAGGCCTTGTGGCCCTGGAGCAGTAGGCCAGAAGCATATAGAGTCAGCTGTGAGGCTGCTTGCCCCCATTGCAGGAGGCAAGTGGCCAAGCCCAGAGACCTTAGCATATCAGGTCACCAGGCCACTGGCCCTTGGTACGAGAAGCTTGGGACAAAAGGCAAAAAGGAAAGAGATAACACAATGGATTCAATTAGGTTAATCTATTTTCATTGATAAATGAAATGTTTAAGAACTATATCAATGTTATGGCAGTTAAAAGGAGTATTCTACCACTTCTAGGTCTGTATCCCAAAGACATCATAAAAATGGGAAAGGGATCCACATATACAAAAATATTTATAACAGCTCTTTTTGTGGTGGCAAAGAATTGGAAATTGAGGGGATGCCCATTAATTGGGGAATGGCTGAACAAGTTGTGGTATATGAATGTAATGGAATACTGTTGTGCTATAAGAAATGATGAGCAGGTGGATGTCAGAAAAACCTGGGAAGACTTGTATGGACTTATGCTGCATGAAGTGAGCAGAACCAGGAGAACATTGTACACAGTAACAACCACACTGTGAGAGGACTGACTGTGATAGACTTAGCTCTTCTCAGCAATGCAAGGATATGAGACAACTCCAAAAGGCTCATGATGGAAAATGCTATCCATATCTAGAGAAATAACTATGGAGTCCAAATGCAGATGGAAGCAAACTAGATGGTCTCCTTTTCTTTTGTTGTTTTGTTTTGTTTCTTCTTTCTCATGGTTCCTTCCATTGGTTCTAATTCTTCTTTACACTATGACTAATGTGAAAATATGCTTAAAATGAATGTATAATTAGAGCCTATATCAGATTGCATGATATCTTGGGGGGAAGGTAGGAGAGGTAGGGGGACAAAATTTAAAACTCAAAATCTTATGGATGTGAATGTTGCAAACTAAAAATATGCAACTTAATAGTTTTTTTTAAAAGGAATATACACAGAGAGTGAAGGTATAAGATGACTTAAGATTATATAAAAAATTAAAGGGTGAGGATCATTGCATTGGGAGAAGAGGGAAGTGAAAGGTAGAATAGATTAAATTTTCTCATATAAAGAGGTACAAAAGAGCTATTACAATGTAGGGAAAGATAGGGTAGGTGAACATACCTTACTCTCATCTCAGCTGGGTATAAAAATCTTCCTATGTGGAAGTACAAGTGGAAGGGGATAAGAAAAGGGGAGACTGATAGAAATGAGGGAAGATTGAGGGAGAAAGTGGTCAGAGGAAAAACAATGATGAGGAGGGATAGGTGAAAGGAGAGGGAGAGAGAGACAGAGAGAGAAAGAGAGAGAAGAATAAACAGGGGGAAATAGGATGGAGGGAAATACCCAGTAATCATAAGTAAGGATGTGAATGGGATGAAGTCACCAATAAAAAAAGAAGCAGATAGAAAAGTGGATTAAAAATCAGAATCCTACAATATGCTGTTTACAAGAAACATACAAAGAGATATGCACAGAGTAAAAGTAAAATGCTGAAGCAGAATCTATGATGCTTCAACTGAAGTTAAAAAAAATAAAGCAAGGATAGCAATCATGATCTCAGACTAAGTAAAAGGAAAAATAGTTTAAATTAAAGATATAAGGAAGGAAACTACATCTAGCTAAAAGGTACCATAGATAATGAAGTATTATCAATTCTAAACGTATATTCACCAAATGATATAGCATCCAAACCTGTAAAAGAGAAGTTAGATGAGTTCCAGAAGGAAATAGAAATAAAAATGTGCTAGTGTGGGACCTCAACATCCTATTCTCAGAACTAGATAAATCTAACCACAAAATAAATAAGAAAAATTAGGAGGTGAATAGAATTTTAGAAAAGTTGGATATGATAGACTTCTGGAGAAAATTGAATGGGGATAGGAAGGAATATACCTTTTTCCTCAGCAGTACATGGCACTTACACAAAAACCGATCATGTATTAGGGCATAAAAACCTCACAATTAAGTGCAGAAAGGCAGATATTAAATGCATCCTTTTCAGATTGTGATGCAATAAAAATTACATTCAATAAAGTAGATAAACCTTTGAAAGAAGAAAACCAAATTGTCATATCAAAATGAAAAGAATGATTTCACAACCAATGAAGAGGAAGTTAAAGCAATAATTAGGAGCTATTTTGCTCAATTCTATGCCAATAAATCTGACAATCTAAATGAAACGGATGCATGTTTACAAAAATGTAAGTTACTAAGACTAAAAGGAGAGGAAATAGAATACTTAAAAAAAAGACAAAGAAATTGAATAATCCATCATAAGTCCCTAAGAAAAAATCCCCAGGGTGAGATGAATTCAGAAGTGAATTCTACCAAATATTTAAAGGATCATTAATTTATTTGTTTTTAATTTAAAAATTTCATATATTTTTACTTTTTAAAATAGTATTTGTTTTTTCCAATTACATGAAAAGATTATTTTCAACATTAATTTTTGAAAGATTTTTGAGATCAAAATTTTTATCCCTCACTTCTTCCCTTCTTTCCTTCCTAAGATGTTAAGCAATCTGATACATGTTTTACATGTGCAATAATGTAAAACACACGTCTACATTACTTATGTTGTGAAAGAACAAGCAAAACAAAAGGGGTAAACACAAAAATATTGAAAATACTATGATTTGATCTTCATTTAGAGTCCGTCAGTTCTTCCTCTGGATGTGGATAACATTCTCCACCATGAATCTTGGAATTGTCTTGGATCATTGTATTGCTGAGAAGAGCTAAGTCAACCATGGTAGATCACTATACAATGTTACTGTTATTGTGTACAATGTGTTCCTGTGTGTTCCTGGTTCTTCTCACTTCACTCAGCATCAGTTCATGGAAATTTATCCAGATTTTTTTCTGAAATCAGGCTGCTCATAATTTATTATAGAACAGTAGTATTCTATTACATGTTGACAAAATATAACACTCATTCCTATTAAAAACACAAGCAAGCAAATGAATAAAGGGAGCTTGCCTTAAAATGATAAGTACTATCATTCTAAAACCATTCGCAAACATTATCTATAATGCAGATAAGTTAAAAGCCTTCCCAATAAAATCAGAGGTTTTAGATGCACAGTATCAATATTGTACTAGAAATGTTATATATAGCAATAAGAAAAGAAAAAAAAGAAATTGAAGAAATTAGAATAGGCGATGAGGAAACAAAACTATCAGTTTTTGCAGATGATGTGAGGGTACACTCAGAGAATCATAAAGAAGCAACTAAAAAAACTACTTGAAATAATTAATAACTTTAGCAAAGTTGTAGGGTGTAAAATAAACCCACATAATTCAGCAGCATTTTTATACGTAACCATCAAAACCCAGTAGCAAGAGACAGAAAGAGAAATTCCATTTAAAATAGCTGCAGACAATATAAAATACTTGGTGGTCTACCTGCTAAGATCAACCCAGGAACTATACTAAGACAATTACAAAACATTTTTCACACCAATAAAGTGAGATCTAAATAACTGGAAAAATATAAATTGCTTATGGGTAGGCTGAGCCAATATAATAAAAACGACAATTCTACTCTTCTCATTTACTTATCACCAATCAAACTACCAAAATTATTCTATAGAGCTAGAAAAAAATAACAAAATTCATCTGGAAGAAAAAAAGATCAAGAATATCAAGGGAATTAATGAAAAGAAATTCAAGGGAAGGGGGCCAA